GGAATACGGAATAATGTGCTGTGGTTTTCTGAAAGCGGGTCGCGTGCGGTCCGTATACGGTTCCTATTTCAACCGCGCGTGAACGCTGAGCGTCCGTAACGGATTGTTCGCGAATCACCTGTGATGTTATTCAAGCATTCCAATTTTCAGGCGAATAACCACACATTGCGCAGTACAAGTGATGAATAGTAACACGTGCCATATTTTCTGAAACAATTACAACTTCTCGAGTCGCCTCAAAAAAACTGATTTCACTGAAACATTGCGAAATCCGTTAGATATTTGAATTAAATTTTTGGAATTATAGATTTTATGCATTTTCAAACCATTTGAATGGTTCAACCTTTCCCATTTTCGAACTGTTTTTGTCCCACGTCACTTGGAACACCTGGTCCAATGTTCTCCTAGACAAACGACATGTCACTATTTAGATGGATTCGTTGTACTTTCTTCTTTGTCCTGTCATACTCATGTCAAAACATCTTTCATATTGTCTGTTTATTGCCCCCTAATTACTTATCTGATTACGTAAACAGTATTCTAACAATGTAAACAGAGGGCGTCGTTTCCCACGGGGAAGGATTAGCCAGGTCCAGGTGCGATAAGCCCCGCCCCTTTTTCTCCAATGGGCCTCCGAAAATCAGTTCAGTTGTTCGACGTTTGTGAAGTAGGCTAGTTGGATAATGGGCTAGTTGGTCTGGTCGGTCAGTTGGACTTTGGTTCATACTGGAAGAGCTTATCGCTAGAACAGGATTCATACTTTGAATACTGATCAGACTGAGAACAATAGGGTTTTTTCTTGGTTTTTCCCTGGTAATAAACCATTTTCCCTTTCTATGTACTGAGCCTCTACGTGGGGAGAGGGATCAACAAACTACATTTGTCTGGCTAATACAGTACACGAAAACCCGAATAAAATCTTGTTTTTTCTCTTCATATAATAAAGGTTTTTAACTCTGAATTCTTATTTTAGCTCATGGCCCAACAAATTATATCTTGTATAAACTTCCTCTGCTTCCTGTTCGCTGAAAAACTAATGATGAAAATTGAAATTTTTCCAGAATTTATAAGAGAAGGTTCGAACTCAAGCGATGAGAAAAACTTGATAGAACTGTCATGGGCTGGAGAAAAGATACCAGGACGCCCACATGGCGTCCCTGCGTCTCACTGCAGTCTTGTATAGTTCCTAATTGGAGGAACTGATGCTGGCAGTCGAATCGAAACAAGGAGAGAAGACTAAGCTTTACTTCCAGCACGACAATGCGGGACTGGTATCCTGGAATCCAGAAACTCACTGGTATCCAGGAATGATCTCATCGGATTATTACCCTCTTTTCTATTGATAGATGATTATACTCCTTCCGAATTCCCCTATCAAAACACAAAATTCTCGCCAGAATTTTTAAAAACTATTCCAAAGCTTTAAATAAAAAAGGAATTTCAAAAAATGTTTCCCTTGGAGTGTTCAAACTACTGTTTCCTGATTTCAAATGTCAAGCTATGCCTTCGAAATTCCATTACAACAATTTCATTGAAATTGGAAATATTATTAGAGTTAGGAAATGAATCAATTAGTAGGTATAATCATAATTGGAAATTATTTGGATTTTGAATCCTCTCTTCAAACTTGATAATTGGAATTTTCAGAAACTCCCTTTGTCGCTTCTCAGGAATATCCAACCAGTTTTGCATTCTCCTTATTACATTCTTCTCATATCCCCAAACCGATTGCTCATTGTTATAAAGCATCCAGAATAGATTTTTCGTGATATTCAAAATATTGACTGCGATCCATTCCAATTTCAATTGATCATTTTCATCATTTGGATTGTGACATCTCAGATAATAATCAAAGTTCCATTCCAATTGGTATTGATCAAATGGGAAAAGAATTTCCTGGTCTAGTCGGTCCGTGGCTTCTTCCATTGTCAATTTCTGGAAATTTTCTATGAAAAGTTTCAGAAAATGGTTGATGATTTACCTTCTGCATATCACGTGGTTTTTTGAATCCCGACTTATATTTGAATGCATAATGATCCAGATAATTTAGATAATTAGGATCGAAGAGGGCTTGTACAGATGGCACTCGATAATTAAGAAACTTGTGATTCGTTCTTTTTACTTTTGGCACTTTCTGAGTTCTAATCTGAAATTATATGTCACCTCAAAAAAAGTTTTTTTAGCTATTTACTCACCACTGTCTTATTCTGATCTTCTTCTGAATGCTTATTTTTCGGTGGCCCTTCAAACCAAAAATTATAGTATGCAGCTGGCTTTTTGGAGACGGTGTTCACTTTTTTTGAGGATTTGCGTCGTGGTTTGCTTTGTAAGACTTCGGAAGAGCGCCAGGTTACTTGTGGGTTTGGAAGATTTTCCATGATTTTGCTGGAAAAATACATATAATAGAAAACGGGAGCAAAAGCGAACGTAGCATAAACTTCTGAAAACAATGAAGCGAGAAAAAGAGAACTGGAGACAGAAAAAAAAGATGACAAGTAAAAACAGAAACATTCAATTTGTGCCGCGCGACAGGTAGATCAAAAGGGTCTCAAAACATTTTCGAAGGCGGTTGGCGCGAAAATCAAAAAAGTAGGTCTAGAATTGGTGGTTATTGATAATAGAATTGAGCAAAATAGAAATTTGACCATTCACGCTCTCCCACAGTATAATTACGAACTGTAAGTATAATTTTGATCTATCTTGAAAAAATTTGGTGCGAAGCATATTTTCAGCATTTTTCCTGTATTTTTTTGGTGATTCAGATGATTCAAATAATTTTTTAAATTCAATATTTGGTTTTAGAATCCTGTTTGATCGGGAGAAAGCATTCCGGAAAATGCCAATCAAAAGATGCGATTTCGCGAGGATTTTGATTCAAAAAAAGTTTTATCAGACGAATCAAAAATTCATCCATACAAAAGGAGGAATAGGGGATTGTGGTTCTTTTAAGCTATAGAACTCCTAGTAATGTTGAAAACTAAGAGAGGAGATACATTTTTTATCTAGCGAACCATGAAAATGGAATTTTTTTGTAATATATTATTTTCTCCCGGAAAAAAGATAATGCAGAAAAAAATAAGAAAGTTTTTATAAACCATTTGAATCATTTTGGATCTCCAAAAAATTAGATAAAAATGCTGAAACTGTGCTCCAGACCAGAAATTATGTATCAAGCCAACTTTTTTCCTGGCAGATCAAAATAATATTTGCACTTCGTAATTCTACTGTAAATTCTTAAGATTATCTTTTTCTGTTTTTTTTTAATAATTCATACAAAACTCAATTACTCAATTATTCAAAAGCAGAAATTCGACTTCCTTTTAGTACCAGAAATAAGTGACTTCACACTTGCCTAATTCAATTGCAGCAACTAAATTTCCAGGTGAAACGAAGGAAGTCAAGTTCTGACACGTGCATTCATAAAATGGACGGAACCTTCTCCGAACTTCTAGTTCCTGAATTGATAGATCATCTTCGAGTTGTTCACATTTACATATTCCTGTTTACATTCGCAGTATGTTTAGTTTTCATGATTATTTTGTTTCCATTCTGTGTGTATGTTAATAATGCCAACCGAGAACGAGATGAAGCAGTAAGAGCTAGCTTTAAGAATTTTAAGAGAGAAATTTTCAGACGTTGATTTTTGCTTTCAGTAATCATTTTTATAAAATGGTTTGCAAAACTTATGCCATGCTTATAGTTTTAGTAATTTCTGTGGGTTCAACTTATTACTTCGGCTTGGGACAGATGTGAGTAAACTTTGACTTTGGAGTAATTATCCACAAATCCTTATTCAGGTTATTGATCCATTTCACAATATTAATCTCTGTCTCAATATTTTTCGCCCTTCACATAATTGCTCAAGTGTTCCATCTACTTATCTCAATATTGGCAGTTTTGAAATTCTTACTGTATTTCGTTCCAAAGACCGAGAACTTTATAGTGCTCGCTCAGAAAACTATTCATAAAAGAATACGATGGATTTATTTTGTCTATGGAGTAAAAGAGGCTTACAACGCGTATGGATTTCTAGGTTGTGTATTTGGTCAATGTCGTAAACAGGAAAAATGGGAACTGGAATTCAATTATACGGTAGATTCTCAACAACAAAAAATATTTTCAAAAAAAATCTGCCAATTTTCAGATTGGTTTTTTTACACTAAAATCTGTCCTGATTGTTAGTTCTTTTTTATATGTTCCAATCGTGATCAGTATCAAAAAATTGTCCAATTTAAGAGTGGTACAAGAAACTCAACCCCAAAAGTACATAATTTGGCAAGCAATGATTACAATGATGGTAAAATCGGTGAGTTACATCGTATGTTGATATTGAGTTTTATATTAATTTCAGATATCACTTCCCGTTGCAACAGTTTATCTGTATTACGATAACCAGTACGAAATCGATATAACCCTCGTGATTCTATTTCTAATCATCACTGATATCATTCTGCTCCCACTCATCATCCAAATATCGTATTTAAGCTGCAACAAAAGAAATGTAGAGGCATTGGTTCAAATTTTATTTTGCTGCAACTTGTGTAAATCGCTGTGGAACCGGATACAGTTGAAAATTATGATTCAGTATGACTCCTAATGATTATGAAATTTAATGAAGATCCATTAAAAATCTCTAATTTTTTATCTCGTTTGCCGTGAAACCTGTAATAGAAGGGCTTCTTAACTTCTAATTTTGAGCCAGTTTTTGTCAGGTGACACATTTTTGATACCTTGCATGGAAATTGAAATAATTGAGCTAGAAATCAGAAGAGTGGTATTAACTTTTCAGATACCGTGTTTGTTTTTTAATGAAGTTTAACATCTTTAAACTGTTTCAAACGGATGAAGAATTTTTTATTTTGTAAAAAAACATTAGATTGCTGACCTCATTTCAACATTGAACATTTTGAAATTTCTGATTCCAGTGATCTCAAGTGAATTGAACTGTGAAAAAATTGAAAAACACATAACTTCTCTGATGACACATCTTTTCAATATTTGGACTTGCTCGACCAAAAAGTTTTTGCTTTTCGATTTCCATTAAAAAGTTCTAAAAAAATTGTTATTTTATCTCATAAAAGAAGCCTTTTCCAATTATTGAGATTTTGAAATCCATTTTCTATTCTTGAAAAAAAAGAAGATTTTAGAGTTTTCCCATGAACTGATATGTTTTGAAAAACTGAAAAGTTTTCAGTGATGCCTCACGGTTTTCAGTAGGCGGTGTCTTACATACATTTCTAAGAAATATCAGAAAAAGTATGCTCTGGTTTCAAATTTCAGCATCACAATTTTTTTCGAGATTTACTTTTTCAGGTATTTCAGAACTTGGATGCTGTTCAAAATATTCTTGGGGCAGTCATTTTTCGAGTAAGTTTCAGATGTATCCTAAATATAGGGTGTGTAAGTTTCAGCCCAGTTTTGTATAATTGTACTGGAACAGATATCCATGTGGTCACTCATGTATTAATTGGTGTTCTTTATTTCTTTTTAGGATTTATTGCTCAGGTTGGTGAACGTTGAAAATAAGAGAACTGGACTACTATTATTTAAAGATATTAATTGAGTTTTTTTGAAATTTCATTTTTCAGACCCTGTACATTTTAGTCTTGAAATCATTCTGGTTCAAGAAACCCTTCTGGGAACATGCTTGTTATCGAATCATGTTTTTCTTGGGTGAGCATGTAAACCTTTAGAAAACTCTAGAAATCAACTCTTTTTCAGGAATCCCCGACATTCTTAGCTTGATTGTATGCGCAGAGTTTGCTGGAATCTGGTCTCTCCTTGGTTTACACTCTTGCTATGACATGGAATTTTCAATTATCTCCGGCTGCTTGGTTTTCGGAACTTGGCACATGAGTTGTTTCTATGTCCTCATATTGGCATTTAACCGGAGTTGTGAACTCGTGGCGCCAAATATAAGGTGATTTAGATAATTTTTTTTTGAAATTTATGAGTTATGATTCATCTTCGTTTTTAGCCGTCTCATTTTCAATGGGAAACCTCTAAAACTCGTTCTTTGTCTACCAATAAGCTACTTTGTGTATTTTACTTTCTTTACAAAGCCTCTCATTTATAATGTCCATGAATCGGCATTCATGCTAAATCCACTCACCAAAGCGACAATGAATTTCTATCCAGAATTGGTGAGTTTTGAACAACTCACATACCATAAAACCTGTAATAGAAGGGCTCCCACATTGTCAATCTTGAGTTAATTTTTCTTGACTCATGGGCAAGATATCAAAAATGTGTAAACTGGTGGAATGTTTTTGTATTATGATTAGTTGACACCTTCTTGGCTCAAAGTTCAAAGTGAAGGGGACCTTTTAATACAGATTTTAAGGTGCTAAACAAGTAAAAAAAGTCATTTTCAGTTCACTGTATATGGCTTTATTATCAACAACTTTTTTGTAATCTTTTTCATTGCGGTCAACTACTCTACAATTTGTATCTATCTTCTCTATCATTCTTGCTCCACTAGCATTCAGAAAGTATCAAAAGTATACCGCCAAATCACTGTTCAATGTCTCGTGGTATGCACTTGTCATTTTATAGGGTGCTTTTTATACATTTACATGCAATGCAGACAGATGCCAAATGTCTTCCGTATAATTGCACAGTTAGCATGGATTGGAAACCATGGTAAGAAATGCTATTCTCGCAAAAGAAAGTTTAAAAAAAATACAGGTCTCCCTCCTCTGGTTTACATTATTTTCAATTCCTCCATTCGGTCGAAAATCACATTTTGTAATCTTCGTATTGTTCGATTACAGCTCCATCCCAAACAGATCATGGCCATAAATCGCCTGCTACTATTTTCTAATGCTTTATTTACAACATTTTTCAAGACCAACAAATAAAATAAGGACTGCAGCAACGACTAAAATTATTACGCAGAATGATGATGTCGAGTAGAATATCAAATCATCACATGAACTTCCATACTGCATTATACAAAGCCACACAAGTCCAACTACTGATCTGAAAGCAAAATTTTTATATTCTCTTTTTTTTTTGTATTTTCAACTCACAATACAACAATCAGCAGCCATATCAGATCAGGCAAAAGAGGTCTTCGATTGAATTTTTCTCGTTTTTTCGTTAGTTTTTTGGTTTCTATAGCATCCATCAATACAACCGAATCGCTGTTGTACCTTAATCTAGCAAGTTCATGAGACACCGAAAAGATCCTTTCAAAAAACAGAAGAATTCCTACTGTAGTTAGCCATATGCGTATAAATTTTTCTTCTGAGCAGGTTTTGTATTCTGTGACTCCAAGAAAAATGAACAGTGTAGCAATAAAGCAAGATATAGCTGTGAAGATGGAGTTTGTGGTGGCTGAAAAAATGTAATACGTCTCACCGTAAAACCTGTAATAGAAGGGCGCCCATAACTTCAAGCTTTCAGCCAATGTATCTCGGTTTCTGTCACAGATATAAAAAAAGTTGTCAACTGTTAAATTATTTATCGTATTATCAGAAGTGCTTTGTCAGTTGATACATTTTTGATATGTTCCATAGGAGTCAAGAAAAATCCAGCTTAAATTTGACAGCAAGTGGCTCCTTCTACAGATTTTACAATAGTCATCAGTTCAAATAATTTACGACTTCTCCAAGAAGCTAGAGACTCTAGGTCAAAGTCCAGATGACTCTTTCTTAACCTACTCTATTTGAACGTTCTGTTTCGAAAACTAATCAAACTTACAAAATCGTTCGTTTTGTTTTTCAATATTCTCTTCTTCCTCAAACTCAATAATTCTAGAATTCTTCGAGTTCATTGTTTCCAGGGACATGATGCACCACACTGACAGAAATCTATTGAAAGTTAGGGGTAATCGGGTAGAAGTGATTGAAATAAGTGCTGATAAGAAAACTCAATTTCAGCAATCAGAATGAGAGAAGAGCTATTTGTCAGTTGTGTTAATCTGAAGTCACATTTTGATTATTGGAAATGTATGACTTTTTTATGTTCTTTTCTATTAATTTATTAAACAACGAATGCATGTTTTTTCTTGTTCCACGGACAAGCCAACGAACCCATTCATATCTAGTGGATGCTTATTTGCCGACTCTGCCTTGTCAATTGTAAGAAAAAAGTTCAAGTTATCGTGTTCCTTCCTAAAAGTCCACTCAAAGCGTTAATTGTGAACTCATATATCTCATTTCTTGTGAGAGATATCACAAAGCGGTCAATTAACAAAATATTTATCATCATTTCAAAAATATTTTGTCAGTTAATCACTTTTCGATATCTTTCACGGGAAATGCGGTAGTTGAGCTCAAAGTGAACGGTTACCGTGAGCTTCTATTGGAGGAAAACCGTACTTTATTTTCTTGCATTTCCGAGAGGCAAACGTTTTCCTCTGTCTCTGAAAAAGTCCATAAAGGCGATTACCAGCAGAATTTTTTTCTAATATCCATAACTCAATTTTGCTATTATTTTGAAAAAACAACATTATGTTTACTGCATTTGCAGAATCAGCATTCTACAATACTGACTCATCAAAAAACCTATCGGTTTGATGTTTGCGCTTCTTAATATACGTTTATTTACATTGTACCTCTCTCCGTACCGACTCTCTATCATTCGTTGAGTTTTCGAATTGGAACTCACTTCATTTCGAAAAAGTTTTTTCATGTGGCCATTTTCTCTTTTTTCAGCTTCTTCGATGTCACAGAAGAAGGAAACAAATATCAGCGTTGATCCCTTCACGGGTCAGGATGTCTTGAAAACGAAGGCGTTCTCATGGAGAGGTCAGTGACAGAAAATAACATGTGTCTCTTAAAAATAAACTGAAAATTCCAGAAATCCATCTTCAAATTTTTTTCCTGACTATTCCTCTTCCACTGTTTTTCATAGTCACCGGAATTCTCCAAATCAATGATTGTGACACGTCTCTGGCTATTTGGATGATCATCATGGGAATTATGATTGGAGTTGAATTAATCCATGTCTCTGTATTCTTCCACAGAGCGGCTGTTCAAAAGAATGAGATGGATTTGGAAGATGACGATATTTTCGATCACTATGAGCCACTCAAAGATCCAATCGTGAAACGCATAGTCAGAATCCACTCGGTCACTGGTCTTCTGTAAGTTTCTTCCCCAAAAAGGTTTTTATGAAACCGAAAACTTTTCAGGTCCTATTTCGGAGGAGTCAAATGCTATCTCATTCTTATTGGAAGTTGGTGGTGCAGTGGAATGGTCTTCTGGCCAAGTCTTCTTATATCTTTGTTCTATTGGGTCACAATGGCAGCTCTTGTGGTTTACACCTGCAAATATAAAAACCGAAAAATGATTATTTGATTTGTTTCATTTGCAAAAGACATGAACCCATTTATTAAAACCAAAGATATTTAACAATTCCGATTGCTTCGAAAAATTATCATCAATACAGCTTTGTTGAACTTATTGTTTTCTACTGAACGGTTACCTGAAATTTTTCTGTTTAAAATAAAATTCTTAAAATTCCTACCTCTGCTAATTTATTCAACTTCTCAGCTACACACTCGTTGAACTTCGTTGCATGATCTGGTGATATGAATTTCAGCAATTCGCGAGCATTTCGGTAGTACTTTGTATGAAGGGAGATCGGAAAACGAGATTTTGAAAACATTAAATTATTCAGTAAATGTTACCTTTGTATAATCTCCGTTCATACAATCCGTATGCGATGAAGCAATTCTCCACCCCTTCATAGTTAACTCCAGGGTGTATGGTGAGCCTTCTTGGGTCTTAACATTGACAAAAATGAGGTCACTGGTCCTTGGAAGCATTTCGGAGACACTTATGTCTTCTACTTCGTGGGCCAACTCGTGAACCGCAGCAATGGCTTCAAGTTCCAAAGGTCCAACGTCATCATCCGATGGAATCACGCCGCCTTCCTGAAGACTAAATTAGAATTTCATTTCAACCGTTAAAAGAACTCACCATTTCATGACGTCTTCTATTCATATCGGCAATCTCTTCCAACGAAATTGGAGTTCTAAAATACTTCTCACTCTGCTTAGTCAGCAGAACCGAATACTCACTTTGGAATCGACATTTTCGGGCTGATCATTTGATTTATGTAGGCGTTGTCGAACCCGAATTTTTCCTTCTCTTCCAAAGTTGGCGAAACAGCACGAGAAGTTCGGTATACCTGTGCGGCCGCGTTCCAGCGTGCTGAACTAAAAATGAAAAGAATAGGAAAAGGTTTAGAGAGAAAGGAAGCTGAAATGAATGCAATTGTGTATGTGTTTGTGTGGGAAGAACGATAAACAAAAGGAAAAGAGAAGCTGAATGATAAACAAAACTATGTAACATAATAAAATAACAATGGGACACAGAAGATTTTCAATGGAAATCGAAGATGTGGATTTTTGATCTTTTGATTCCGATAAGAGGCTCCGGGCAGTTTTAACGATTCCCCTCAACAAAAACCGAAATCTCCCGAACATCATAAATATCCAATAACTCACTCTTGCTGCTTATACAAAGGAGAAACTTTCAATGTGTCTGCCAAAGTGTTTGCATTGAGAGCTGAAAATTTCATCTTTTAATATATCCATTTTTCAAAAGTTCTTACCGATAGGAACGTTTCCACATATGCATGCCGTATTGGCTACCGTGGCGGCTCCCGAGAAAGATCTTGTTCGATTGGACTTGGTGGGGGTGCTTGGAGGAGATTGTGGAGGAATTGGGGTAGACATTCTGAAAAATGAAAAAACATATAAAACATAGAAGTAGATGAGAGAAGAGAGTTGAAAAATTAAAAGATACATTTCTTCCTGTAATAGAATCCCATCCAAACCGTCAACTTTGAGCTCAAATATCTCGATTCCTGTAAAATATGTCAGAATGATGTCTACCGATAAATTATTTATAATAATATCACCAATATTTCATCAGTTAACAAATTCTCCTATCTATCATAGGAACCGAGATATTTGAACTTGAAGTTGACTGTTTGAGTAGGCTTCTTGGTTTAAGAGGAAGTGCGGTAATTAGCATTGGAACGGTTGATAATAATTCATTCATTTTTTGGTGACTGCCTTTCCAACTGATTATGTCAAATTTCGTGAAAGCGAAAACTTCGCATTTGTGTTTGAAAACTGAGATAATGAACGAAAGAAAAAATCATTCTGAACGAGTTGTGTAACAACACAACTTTTTTAAAAATCTCAGAGACCTGGCCTATTTTTGAGGAGAAGCTCAATAACGGTTGTGTCAGTTGGTACTTAAAAGTGTGAGCGGTAAGTTTTAAAATTTTTTGAAGACAATTTATGACTTTGAAAACTTTCACTAAAACTTTATGAGCCTCCTATGTTCAAGAACAGAACACCAAACAGATGAGTGAAATCATTCATTTAAACGAGCACCTACTTAACAACAGCAGTTTGAAAACTCCTGAAGAACCTATTCACGAGGAGACTCAATTACGTTTGTGTCAGTTGGTTGGGTCACAGCTGTTTGAGAACCTTCCTAGTGAAAACAACAATCGTCTCGTGTTTCAACGACCATCACTCGTCATTCAAGACGGAAAAATTTTGAACGTCTTAGAAGGAAACCTGATGTCAGATTGTGTACAGAGAATAATTTGACAGACATAGACAGGAAGAAATTTGTGCCCTTAGAAATTCAGAAGATTTTTTTGTAAAATTTTTAATTCAAAGTTGTTGGAACACATTTAAAGAGAATTTGCATCATGCAATAATGTGTAACCCTTTATGTGCATTTTGAAATCAATTATCTCGGTTCCTATGAAAGATATCAGAAATCTGTCAACTGATAAAATATTGATGATATTATGATAAACTATTTATCAGTTCATCACTTTTTTAAGCCATTGACAGGAACCGAGAAAAATTGGCTTAAAGTTATAACTCAGCTGGGGCTTCTAATACACGTTTTACGGTAAATTTGAAAGGTATTTTTATAATCCAGTCGTGTATGATTCTGACTATTTCAAAGCAATGTTTTTTAAATGATTTAAAATCGGCTTTTTTTACAAAAGCTTACTTGATTGTTAAAAAAAGTTTTTGCATTTAATGGCCTATGAAAAGACCTAATTCTAGGAAGTTATTAAAGTGAAAATTATAAATGGAGAATGAAGAGAAAAACATAAAAATGACACCCGACTCAAAGAGAAGTTGAGTGAGCTGAGTTGAAGTAAAAAAAAACATAAAAAAACATAAAGAAGAAAACACAAAAGAAAGAGACTTTAGAGAAAGGAGCCGGAGGGCAGATATTCTTTGAGACAGGCAGAGAGTGTGTCAGGTGAAGAGACGCAGGCAAGTTTACACTGAGCTCATGGGGGAAACCGAGTGGCGCGCTACGAGGGATTAGAAGAGAGAACTCTTGTTTTCTTCTTTTTTTTCTCGATGAGTGTTGGTATGGAAAAAACATGAATTTGGAAAGCATCACGAATTGAAACCTTATATAATTTATTGAAATATAATTTGATGAGAAAAAAACCTATGAATACACGATTTCAAATTTGAAAAACAAAACCAAAAATATATACATACAATTAACCCTTAATTTCATCTTTTTTTTTCAAATTGCCTATTCACTATCATCGGTATCAAGAGTCATGTTCAAGTGATCCTCGTCGCCCAGTAATTGGCATACTTCCTGAAGACGTTCCTTCCACCGTGGAACTTCTGCTAACTGTCTCTCCAACTGTTGTTTTTCTTCCGAATAACTCATTCGTTCTCCAATAGTCTTTTCGTTCAATGATGAGACCTTGTAGCCCCCTTCACCATCATATTGTAGCAGGTGAGTGTGGAATTTCCTATAAATTATTGTTTCATTACGAACTTTTTAAGTGAAGTTTTATGTTAGAAAATCTTACCATAAGCTAGGTCTATGGGTTACTGTAAGAAGGGTAATTCCATTATCTTTGATGGCTTGATAAATGCTTCCCTCTACATCAATAGAAACTGCAGATGTGCATTCATCAAGAAGAGCATACTTGGGTCTGAATTTTTCAAACTTGAAGACAGATTCACTTGAATAACTTACCTATGATAGAATACTCTAGCCATTCCCATCCTCTGCTTCTCTCCTCCTGAAAGCACATCCATCCAATCGTTCTGTGCGTCCCAACCACCTTCTCTCTCCACAATATGCTCCAAATGCACAATTCTCAACATAATCATGAGGTCTTGATCAGTGATTCCGCGTCGTCTCATTTGAACTGTGGTATCTGGATAGATCACTTGATCTCGAAGTGTTCCAAGAGTCATGTATGGTCTTTGTGGAATGTAGTACATACGATCAGAGACTGGTTTCTCGAGGTGACCTCTGGAAAAAATAAACAAGGGTGTGGATGGTATTAGCAGATATGCTAACCTATAAACTGGCCAAAGTCCTCCGAGAATTCTGAAAAGGGAACTCTTTCCGCATCCGTTGGGTCCAGTTATCAGCACGTGCATTCCAGGAGTGATCTATAAAATTTCATGGTTTCCGAACAATTTTTTAGATTCAAAAATCTTACCGTCAGCGACATGTTCTTCACAACTACATCCCCGTTTGGTGTGACTATCGGAACAGAGTTGAGTACAATCTCATCGGTTTCAGAGTCTGTGATGACACCTGGAATAACCAAATTAACATCCATTCAACAAATTCAGTATCTCACCCTCAATCCGACTAGTATCGAATCTCTCTCCTCTCTGCCCTTCCACTGCACCTCCACTAACAAGTTGTCTCTGATAGATTCCTTTCTTTGCATCATCGAACACTTTGAACATCTCATGAACTCTTCCTGTGTATCCAGCCAATTCAGTAACCTCCTTATAACTTGTCATTAATCTTTCTACTGCATCTGCCGAGTTAAAAAGAAGCGTCTTGGCTGTAGCGTATCCACGTGTTCGTTCAGAAACTCCATGGTCCGGAAGATCTTCGAGTTTGGTGGATTCTGAAAATTTTCTATCTAGTGAACAACTTCAAAGAATTTTTGTCAGTTCAAATACAAATATGCTTACTCCTATTCTTCAGTCCGATTATTTTCTTATCAAACTACTCACTTTCATCATCTGCATACTCTGCTGCAAGGATCGGAAGAGCAATCATGACCATTCCAGTACCAGACCACACATATTTCATAAGGAACTGCTCAATCATAATGTAGGGAATACGTTTCTTGAAAATCAACATCATTTGTTGATACAGAGAGTTGAATGCTCCATCCAACTGCTTATACTCGGCTTGGTGTCCTCCATAGAATGCAATCTCTTCAGAATTTGTGATAATTCTTGAGTGCAAGTATCTCAAGTGTCCTTTTCGTTTTGCCTCTTCCGCAACCATGTGTCCGAATCTAGGTGACACCGCTTTTAGAATTTTAGCTGTAATGGAGACTGCTAGAATCGCCATGCACGTTGGAAGGAATGTTGATTGACCCGTTCCACGTTGTACCGCTAGTTTGAGGAGTGTGAATCTGAAATTCTAAGGTTTTCAAAATCTGGAAATAATATCTTACGTAATGAGAGCAATATCTAGGACTGGCTTGGTCAGATGTGAGTAAAGATGAGCCACACTCTGTGAGAACATCGTGATGTCTTCAGTGAGGCATTGATCGGCATTCTGGAGTCGGGTGTCCAGATTGGACACTGCGTAATACGTTTGGTCCTGAGAGAATGGTTTTTAAAAAAAGGCTCTAAAATAAAAAAGGTTACCGAGAAATATTGCTGATATGCGTGCTTGGTGAGTCTAGTTCTGAAAGCCAATCCCAAATAAGACTCGAAAAATCTTATCATGGAATTGACAAATGTGGCTGGAAGTGCGACAAGAATCCATTTTATCAAATGGAGAACGAATTGAAGGACATCCTGAATGCTCAACAATATTTTTTTCATATTTTCAAAACATACCTTCTCAACAATGGATTGCACCATAGAGCCTTCCAATTGAGCCACATAAATTGTCAAAAATGTTCTGCACATCAGAATGATTGAATGCATTCCTAAATAAAGAAAATTCAAGAAAGTATTCAAATTTTAAAGATTTTTTTCTGATCTTACCAATAATTCCAGCTTCCTTACTGAAAATACCAGGAACCATAATCCTCAACAATTCCTTCAATTGCTTCAAAAATTGAGGATCAAACGCTTTCTTCTTGTTCTTTTTAGGTGTTCCATCTGATGCTACACTATCTTCCTTTACCAATTTGTGATGTGTTTTCTGAGATTTTCGAAGAGCTATCCATTGAGCCACTGCCACTGCCGCCACTCCTCCAGCCGCTATTAACAAGGCCCTCCGCCGTTTATCAGGGTCCATTGCAGTTTCCAAAAGTTTTGATTGAACTGACATTTTGTGTGCTGAAATTTTGGAAAATAAAAAATCTGTATATAAAATGGACTGCAAGAATTTGAAGAACTGCTGAAGACAAAAAAGAAGACACTTTGAATAATAAAAATGCTATGGTGATGTGGTATCAATTGAAAAAAAGAACAAGACCTGCTGAATAAAGTGATAGTGTGAAATAAGAAGAGAGCAAAGTGTTGTCTATATGGATGGAGGTGTGTGATAAGACAACAAAGTAAATGATCAGACCAATGTAGAGTAGACTCCGCAGGAAAATGCTCAAAGTGCAATATGGAGCCATTTCTAGAGATTTTAGGGGAATACCGGCAAGTCGGAATGTTCTGAACTGATTTTTTTTATTGCGAAATATTCAATATTCATGGAGGTTGTTTTTTAGACCCAACTTAAATGACATTTAGCTGAAAGTTTCTTTGAGGACGAACTTATAATTATTTAATTCTGAAGAATTTTTAATTTCTGAAACAAAAAAAATTATTCTAAAACTTGGAAGCTAAAAAGCAGAAAATTTATATTTTATGTTGAAAAGTTTAAAACTATCAAAAACTTGAGAAGTTGGAATTTTTATGATTTTTAAAAAATTCACAACTTTTAAAATTTCGGAATTTCAAGAACTTTTTTCGTTCTCGCAGTTTTAGAAAATATTAGTGAAATCGTCAAAATTATTTTGATTTTGGAAAATCTAAATTGAAATTTAAAAAAAAACTGAAAATTCTGAAAATCCGACTGTTCCGAATTTTTAAAAAGTTCGAAAATAAAGATTATTGAATTTTACTGGGGATAGTTTTAAAAATAGTCTAATGGTTCCAAAATTCCCATCTTCGGTAAAAAAGACCCATGAAAACACCAACAGCGGAACCCATGTTTATTGTTATCACACTCATCATTTCTTTATCGTCTCTACTTTCTACTATTTTTTCTTATTTTAAAATAAAGGTAAACAAAAAAGGACACTGTTTTGGACGGATGACTAGGATGTAGTTATTTATTAGAGATTCTGAAAAATACCGTAAACACTCTAATAGAACGCCACCCTTTCAATTTTGAGCCTATATATCTCGGTTTCTGTTAAAGATACTAAAAGGCATAGTTGCAAAAGGCCGGGCCGGGCCGGGCCGGTAGGCGAATTTCCTCCGCCCGGCCCGCCTACCACTGCTGAAAATTTTCCAATGAAAAACTGGATAATTTTTTTGAGCAAAAAAAGAAAAAAGGTTACATTTTTTAACAAAATTAACAAAGTAGAAAGTAGTCAGAAATAGGTCATTTTTGTATATATTTTTGAAAAAATGCCAAAAATTTCGAAAAAAACGTTCAAGAAAATCAGCGTCCGTACAGACCCCGGGGCGGCCCGAAATTTGGCAACTATGCTAAAAAGTTGTCCACTGACAAAACATTTTTGATATTATGATGAACATTTCCCCACTTTTGATATCTTTCACAGAAACCAAAATAAATTGACTCGAAGTTGAGAAATAGGTGGCGTTCTATTAGAGTGTTTACGGTATTGGAAAAATTTTAATCCAAAAAGTGAGATTGTTGAAATCTAAAAGAAGACCAAAGCATAAGAAAAGTAAGAAAAAAAAGTGTGTAATCTAGTAACACTATAAAGTAGAATAGGGAAATCAGATTCTGATAATCAATGAAGAAGAGATCGAGAAGAGAAGCTAACTACAGTGTAATACTGCATGTTTATTCGAGAATTGTGTGTTACTTTTTTTCTTTCTCTTTCTACAATGTCATTCATTGATTGGAGGCAAATAAAGGGGCATGGGAAAGTGACAAGATTACACCTAGGGATACAAAGAAGACAAGGGACAATAAAGGAACCGTTTGAGTGAAATCATTTCCTTCCTATAGAAATTTCTATGAATAATGTTTCTTTTTTCAACATTTATGGTTGAGCAGTTTTCTTGAAGTTTTCTAGAATTTTCAATAGTAGTAAATCAGTGGAACCGTTACCAAAATGATGAATCGATTTTCTTTCTGAATCATTCAGTTTCAGTACGAAACTAATTAACTGACTGTTTCAGTTACCATTTGTACGCTCAAGATTAATTTCATTTTCAATGTTATTGAAGTTTTCGAAAACTTAAAGTAAAGATATTTATTAATGAAAACGGACAGGATAATTAAATTTACTTCTTTCCATTGAAGCTGTTCTCAATAGCAGCTTGCTTAGCGGCCATCATGTCTTCGATTTGCTTCTTGGCTGCTGGGCTCAAGTTGAAATTGCCCAAGTATCCTTGGACTTGCTCCTGAAGACCCATGAGAGCCTCAATGTCAGCTTCACTGTGAGATGGAGCAGATTGAACTGGAGTGAAGAAGACAACGGCGAAGACCGAGAGAATAAGAAGATGGAAGAAGTTGAATTGCATTGTTGGATTGGAAGAAGAAAACCAGATGAGTGGATGATTTGAATGGGCTCCGGATGGGATTTTATACCTAGTTCCAGTTCCTTGTTGGAAGTTCTCGGCCATCAAACGATTGATTTAAGGGAATTTCTCAGTTTTTATCTCTCCGATTGTTGGAGGTTTTATGACTTGCTTCGGTGAGCTTTGGTATTTGCTATAGGGGAAGTAATTTCAGATAAATGAGTAATCAGAGAGAAGTCAGCTTTATGACAAAAGAATCGTTGGTGGCAACCGAGCAACACACGAGTCTTAAAACACGATAACCTTATTCCGAACATTCCCGATATACCAACTCATTTTGAAAATGCTCAGCTTGGTAGTCTTAGATTTGCTTCTCTTCTACCTGGCAATCTCGACTCTCGAAATTTTTTGGAATCAATTTTTTCTTCTGTGAATAAAATTAGTCCTATAACATATAAAAAGGTACTTACATTGTCTTTATGTCAACCGACTTGTTTTCAATGATTGAAAAATAACGAAGATACGAATGGTGGCCAACTGATAAATTGTTTATCATAAAATCAGAAGTGTTTGTTAATTGACGCATTTTGGATATCTTTCATAGAATTGGGATAATTGAGCTTACGGTCATTTGAATTAGGTTCCATTTTTGGTTTTTTGCTGGAACGCCCTTGTTCTGGAATATTTCTCAACATTGCTCATTTGCTTTTATACCAATTGATGCTACTTCACATCCTAAATTGTCACAAAAGCCATTTGGCACGTCTTTTTATCTTTTAATCGCGTTTATATGTTTTCCGGACCTACTTGGGTCATGAACTGATTCATTACGAACTTGAGTAGTAAATATCTCACTTTGAATTTAGAACCAAACGAAAATCTATGAAAATTTTACTTTTAAAAATGGATTCAACACAGGTGGATCGCGCAGAACACTATATGGGCGCATTGTGGCCCATACTGGGAATGCGCGCATATAGCGTTCGTTATGCCCTCTATATGAGCTGGTGGTTGCTGGTGGGCGGTGGTGGGCGTCGAGTAGGCAGGGAAAGCATATGCCCAGTCCGTGCTCGCATATAGGTTCCATATTCTCTCAACATTCTAATCGAGTGCTCGAGAACTGTAAACTTCGATCCCATATATCTCATTTCCTGTAAAAGATATCAGAAAATGATCAACTGACAAAATGTTTATTATAATATCAAAAACATGCTGTCAGTTAACAACTTTTTGATATCTTTCACAGGAACCCAGATAAATTAGCTGAAAGTTGAAAGTTAAAGGGGAAGGGGTGGATCATTCTATTATGTGTCTTCACGGAAACCTGATAGCATTTACAGAACATGTAAATGTTTTTTGCAGAAATAATAGCTTGAAACTCTTCTCTTGATATTCTCAGGATAACATTCTTCGTTCTCAAAGAATTGTATTTATGACTGTTGACTATCGAAAAATAGTGTTATCGGTGAAAAGTAGTTAACCAAGACAGATGATCAGAAAACATATACAGGTGCTGGATTTTAGGCTTGGAATTCCTTTAACCTTGATGGGAATTTTGTCTTTGAAAAGTTCAACATTTTCTGCAGGCTGTGTTGCGACGTTTACTCCAAAAAAACCTGTCAAAATCCGGATTTTATGTTACCATAAAATGCCCTTATGCTCTGTCTGCTTATTTTACATCACAATATTCTATATTTCCACATGAATCGGATTTTTTTGCCCATTTAATTTGGTAATTCCGCTGAAAAAGTACACAACGACGCTCCGACATCCCGCATCGCGCGTTGTTTACCGTAAATCTACACTCAGATTTTCGATGAATTTGCAGACATTTTTGCCTATTTTTGTTCGATTTTCTTTAATTTTTCACGATTTCACAGGTTTTTTTTTTACAAATTTTTCAATTGCGAACTCAATTTCATCGTTTCTAGCCGTTTTCCTCGGGTTTCTACACATAAATTCCTAAAGAAATAATTATTTTAGGCCCACCGATGGATTCCAACGCCTCACATTTCTACCTAAAGCTGAAAATCAAAAGTTTTCGGCGGATAGCTACAGGTAAGAAACATGCATGACATTCAGTTTCTCACTGACTTCATTTTTTAGAAGCGGAGCTCGGAATTCGGTGACAACTAAACCCTTCACCGTCTCCACTGGCCACACGACAAGTGAAAGAAACAGCACCGACAGAAAAACGAAAAGGTTAGCGAATTTTGTGTTTGAAACGCTCGAAAATTATTCGATAAAAGAACACCTGCAAAATTGTTTTCACTGAACTTGTAAGGAGCATTCTACTCTTGTGTCTATGACTCCAGTTCTTCGGAGCTTTCGAAACATGATGAAAAACGTGCCAAGATTTGCTAGAGGTATCGCTTCACACGAAATTCAGCTCTCTCAATAAATCATGTATACGAATTTGCAAAAGCAGCTTCGTTTTCTAAGTACTAGGCTTGACAAATTTTTCGGTGTGAATAAGTAAAACTATCAAAAATTTTCAAAATATATTCAGTTTTTCAGAAAAAAAAACAACCAAGAGCAACTTCTCGATTGGACTGTCGTCTAATGGATATAGAGAGGGAGAAATGCGACGAAAATATCGAGTCCAAGGAGCCAGGAGACAAACATGTTAATTTTTTCTTTTTTCTTTTTTTTTATGTTCTTTTCACTTCATTTTTTTGTCCTTTTTATTAATTTTCAATAAATTTTTACTGGTAAACACTATTTTCAGTTCACAGAGAATATTAGGACCTGGGGGAGGGGAGGAATTGCTGCGCGGCGGCGTGGATCTTATATGCTTTAGTCGGCGCGTGAATCCTATATGCTCGCACGATGCGCCCCTATATGTTTCGTATTGCGAGCATATACGGCACCGCGCGATCCCATATAACGTTCTTCGCGATCCACCTGTGAATATATATATATATATCATTTCATTGAAGCTATTCTCGATTGCTTGTAATAAATATTATTATTAATTAGATTTTCGCAAAGAATTGAAACGAAATAAACATTCATTGATGAAAACAGACAGCAAAATTCAATTTATTTCTTTCCATTGAAGCTGTTCTCGATAGCAGCTTGCTTGGCAGCCATCATGTCTTCGATTTGCTTCTTGGCTGCTGGGCTCAAGTTGGAATTACCCAAGTATCCTTGGACTTGCTCCTGAAGACCCATAAGAGCCTCAATGTCAGCTTCACTGTGAGATGGAGCCGATTGAACTGGAGTGAAGAAGATGACGGCGAAGACCGAGAGAATAAGAAGATGGAAGAAGTTGAATTGCATTGTTGGATTGAAGGAAGAGAACCAGATGAATGGATGGTTGAAATGGGTTCTGGATGGGGTTTTATATCTAGCTACAGTTCCTGATTTTCATAGTTCCAAAACGAAGAAATTGTTATTCATGAGAGCCTCTCAGAATCTAAAGTTTGGTGTTTTATTATCTTTGTGGCAGTTTTCCTTTTTTGTGGAGAAGTAAAACACAAGCTCCAAGTTGGAGCATGAAGGAAGTCTATTCAACTTCAACCAGTAAAATTCGGCTTCATTCAGCTGCTCCGTTGCATTTCAGATAACCTCCTGCTAGATTACAAATCAAAATCAAAACATCATATTTTGGAAGCAATGATTTGCAGGAAATTCCTGTGCAAAATCATCACTAAAAATATACGACGTTCACTGACCACCATTTTGTTTACTGTTATCGGATCTTTGGAGTCTTAGTTCGCTGGAACATTCGGTTTTTTAGTAGGAAGGCACCATAGACGTTGTGTGGAATTAAGAGACCGGGTGTTGTCTTTTTCACCCTCGCACCCTCTTGTTTACCTTTTCTCGCTATTTCGCGGCCCCTAGTTTTCTAGTTTTCATTCAGTATCGCATTTTCGTTTGTGACTGACCGCTTTTTGAAAAACTCTGAAAAATGTCTAACTGTGCCGTTGCTGTTCTTCGTGGTGATGATGTCTGTGGAACTATCTGGATCAAACAGGTATCATTTTATCCTAGCCCTTTTTTTTTGAAATGTTCTAATTTTAGTCCGAAGGAAAGCCCGCAGAAATTTCTGGAGAAATCAAGGGGTTGACCCCAGGTAAACATGGATTCCATATCCATCAATATGGAGACTCAACTAACGGATGCACTTCGGCCGGACCACATTTCAATCCAAGCCAAAAAACGCATGGAGGACCATGTGTGAGTCTACATATTCCAAAAAAAAATAACCTGGAAGAATTCTTCTATAGTGCGACAACCGCCACTACGGAGACTTGGGAAACGTCGAGGCTGGCTCGGATGGTGTTGCCAAAGTGAATATCACTGATAAACTGGTCACTTTGTACGGTGAGCACTCAGTGATTGGACGTTCAATGGTCGTTCATGCTGACGAGGATGATCTTGGTAATATCAATTGGCACTAGGGCTATCATACCGGGTTTTATATTCTAGGCAAAGGAGTTGGCGACAAAGAAGAGGAATCCAAGAAGACTGGCAATGCTGGAGCACGTAAAGCTTGCGGAGTCATTGCTCTTGCCGCTCCACAATGAACCGAGGACCATAAATCTCCAATTAGCTTGCTTCCTCTTATCCTGTAATTATTCCACCCTTCCTACTAATGTTCCTGACCTCTTAAATTATTTCTCTGAGAATATTGAGACACAATTCGACGCTTGCTTGATTAGTTAAGCTCTTTCTCGATGGCAATGAACAAATGCTTACAATAAAATCAAATTCAGTTTATTTATTAACCGGAATGAAAAGACATGAGATTTCAGTTTATGAGATGAGTTATAGGGGGCTTATATGAAAAAATCAACACAAAACTACAACATGACAGCAAAAAAATGACACACAGAATAAATTAAGATATGGCAGTTCGAATCGGAATCACAAATAATCAATGGTCTCTAGAGATGTGTTTGTTCAGTGTCTTGATAGAATACCATACTTGTATCAGAGTTTCCACGTGTTAGCATAGGATCAACTTGCCACTGTGGGTTGCTAGCAGCAGGTAGAGAACGAGACGTTGAGGCACCATCACAAATTCCACGCGATGTTGATCTACAAACGAATGATGTTAGAGTGGCCCGAAATAGATATTTCTTACCTTCTCGGCAAATCTGGAACACCGTTGGTGGTCATGATACTTTGGCCATCATCTCCAATGTCGTTCTTCATCTGAATAAAAAGACTTGTTATAATTTTACCTTCTACATGTATTGTACTCACCTGCAATTGCGTATTCAAAAGTCCATACAAAATCCAGTTACTCGAAGAGCCAAAGTATGGAAGCAAGTGGACACAGTAAATAGCAAACAACACCCATTCCGAGTTAGTGGTCGGTTTTCCAAGAAGAGACATTATGATTGCATAGAGTACGGAGAACCAGTATGGAGTCCAGCACACGAAATAGACCGCAGCAATTAGGACGGTGTAGACGACAACACGGCGAACTGGGATGGCAGAGCGAGGAAGGACTCGCTTATGGGCATACAACTTGTTGATGAGCTTCAGATTGAAGTAAACGATAAGGATGAGTGGGACCACGTAGCCAAGAATGAAGGTACTGAAACATATTCTATCAATGGATTAATGTTTAATAGGACCAAGTGCTTACGTTGAAGTGAACCAGTAGAAAATAGGTCCAGGCATCATATCGGAGCACTTGAAGACTCGAACTCTGGTGATGTTGGCTGACTCGTGAGCCTTCAGCTCATGAAGCACCATTTCTTTAGCACTAGCATAGGTGAGCATTGGGAGGAGAAGAACGAATGCGATTGCAGAGAGACAGACGATAGTTGAGACGACAAAGGTACGGCTTCGGAGACGATGTTGATGGGGATAACAAACTGCCACGTATCTATCGAATGACATTGCAGTGATCAAGAAGGTTGATGCTATACGACCGACACTTCCGAAGACATGATGCACTTTGCACATAGTGGTACCGAAGATCCAGAATCCGATTACAGAGTCCAGAATGGCTGGGGGGAGGGAGAGCGACATCACAAAGTCGCAGACACATAGAGCACCGATGTAGAGGATTGCGTTGTCCCCATGACGCTTCATTCTAGAAATAAATGGAAGTGTAATTAGACTTGCGTTCAGTTTTTCTTCTTTGTGGAAATATCTAGAATACAGAATTGTACTTGACGCACTTCTAGTATAAGCATGAAGTCCGGTTAAGACACAATAAATAAACTTTCTCTGAATTCGAACTAACCTTTTCCTCCGATCCTCCACAACCCCTCGAATGATGGTGATGATTGATGAGTTTCCACATACTCCAACAATGAAGCAAAGTACAAAAACGACGACCACGATGAGCACTTTGGGTTGGAGCTCCTGCAAAAAAGTGTTGTCAGTGTTCTAATCAATGTAATGGAACTTCCATATCATACCTAAAGCCAGCTGGAAAACCCCTCCTACTTTTTTCCCTTTTTTTCCAGTGGAAGAAAATAGCTTTTTGTTTTCTTTTCCTTTTTCCGCCAACTTCCTACTCCAATTTTCATAATGAGTGTTCTATGAATATAGTCGAATACGTCGAAGATGCTTTCAAAAAAAGAGATTACTCTCTCAAAAAAAAGAAAACACCTGAACCCCAAAAAAAACATCATCCACTTTTTCTTTTCGTAATTCCAACTAACGGATTAAAAATTGAAGGATTGGAAAAAGTTTATTCTCGGCCGACTTTACGTTTTTCATCAATTCTTGGAATGAAGGATTCGTATAAAGCAAACAAAGTTCGTCAAAATGAAATATTTGAGTTTTCCAGTGCTGATTTTTTTTCTTAAAAGATGAAGTACAAAGCTCCATACGTAATCCGGACATTTGCCGGGCCTTTGCGGGCACTGCCATAGTTTCTTCCAGATTCAATATTTTTGAACCAACTAAATTAGATATGACAGAGCTCGACAAGTACTACAAAATGATATCATTCGTAAGACTGCTGAGCCGGGCCGGGCCTGCTTTTTTCGTTCCTTTCGTCTGTACAAAAAAAAAAAAAAGCAAAGTACAAAAACTTCCCGGACGGCCCGGAAGGCCCGGGCCGGGCTGGCATTTTTTCGTACTATTTTGTCTGTAACTTTGCTTATAGACAAGATACAGTTTTTCAAATAGTATCATTTTGTAGTACTCGTCAAGTTCTATCATGTCCAATTTAGTTGGTCAGTAAATATTGATTCTAAAAGGAGTTATGACAGGGTCTGCGAAGGTCCGGCAAATGCTTGGTCGCAATTATGGAAATTTTTCTTAAAAGAGGAAGTATGAAGTTTTAATCCATCCCTTCTTTTTTTGTTTCTAACATATTTTTTTAGTTTCCTTTTTTTCAAAAGAAACGCTCTTCGGCTTCGGCTCATTGCTTCCTTCTCTTCCACTCGTCACAATATTTAATTGAAAAAATTGTTTCTTTTTTTCTCTGCAGTTTCAAAAAAGAATTTCAAAAATTGGATAATGGCTTCTGAAAAGTGGAAGATAATTGGGAAGTGAGATAATTACTCCAATTGCGAGCTTCTATTTATTGTTTTTCTTGGCTAACCTAGAGTCATTAAATGGGTCACAATGGCATTTTCAGAAAAAGGGGTATTTAAAAGGTGTGAATAGCTGATAATCTGTTTTTCAGACTTTTTCTTTTTAAAAACAGTATTTCCAGACAAAAATCCCTTCCCTCCAAAAAAATCAGGAATATTTTTTGTGTGTTGGCGATTTTCAAACCGAAAATAAATTAGATGCGTTGTTGTTCACACTCGATGTAATCTAAATCTTTTTTTTCTCGATGGGTAAAATAAAGGAGGAGGTTTGGATTTAATTACGAATAAAATAAAGGAAAATATCTGATGAGGAGCTGGAAGGAAAGGTATGAATTGTGGGCAAAAAACGCAATAAATGAAAAAGGTGTCAAAAGTGCGTTATTGGGATTTCAGGATCGAAGGTGTAAACATTGATGATTGAAATTTTTAAGAGAGCATAACCTTTAATATAAGGGCCTCCATCAAAATCAAGTTTGGGCTCAATTATCCCGATTCCTATGAGAGGTATCAAAAATGTATCATCTGACAAAATACTTATGATATTATGATTAAAATTTATCAGTTTACCAATTTCTGGTATATTTTACAAGAATCGAGAAAAAATAGCTTAAAGCTAAAAGTTTGGGGTTCTTCTATTACAGGTTTTACGGCAGCCTTCTCAAAAACACTGCAAAATATAAGCCGGTTCAATTACCGTAAACACTCTAATAGAACGCCACCCGGAGCGTTAACTTTAAGTCTATATATTTTACTTCTTTTGAAAGATATCAAAAAGTTATCAACTAATAAAATGTTTATCATGATATCAGCAACATTTTATCAGTTTACCGCTTTTTGATAAATTTTACAGAAAATGAGATACATGGGCTCAAATTTGACAATTTGGGTGGAATTCTTTTAGAGTGCTCTTAATTGTAAACGGACTACGATGCTTACCTACGTCCTAATAAGCCCTCTTTTTTTAAATCCTTTATATTCCTTGACTTCTGGTGTCTAATCTGATGGATCAAGTATTTTTGTCTGACAACTAGCGATAAGGAATTTAGTTCCCCTTACCAAAAAAAGAAAGCTTTTTCGGGTGTCTGGAAGATAAAATAACTTTTTGACACATCCTATTGTATTTCGAGGACCGAAAATCTGATTACCATCACCAAGTCAAAACACACATTCTGAGCTAACCCATTCTCTGCTCCCAAAAAAAAACAAGAAGAAAAATCTCTTTTTTCTTCCTTCTCACCTCATTTAATATGAATTCATATCAATCTCTTTCAAATTTAAAATTTTTTGCAGTTCTTTTGCGAAATGTTCTGAATCATGAACACTGTGTACTTCAACCCCAACGGAACCTCACGAAAGGAAGCTCTATATTTGAACAGGATATGGCTTCTGTCATACTTAATGATTAGTAGCCACGTCATCAAGTTTTTTGATTTCAACAGATGTTCAATTGGAAAAGACTCTTCACTTTTAATGATGTAAAAATCTGCTAGCCAGCAAACCAAGGGAGAATTTATCCTATTACACTCCCACGACCCATCGAAAATTCTATTCAACCTCTTTCTCTCGATACCACCCATCTCATTGTTTCATTAGTACTCATGACGTCCGGAAAGAGCTCATTTCGTTAAGGTCACCGGGACCAAAAATGGCCGGAAATGGGATTATAAAGGAAATTGGCTTTATATTTAAGTTCGGAGGATCAAAACTAAATTCATGACTTGTTTTTGAAGATGTTCACAACAGAGAGTTTTGAGAATGTTAAAACAACACGCGATGAGTGAGTGAGTCAAGATATTTTTTTCCGAAATTTGAAACGCTCAGAAAGCAATCATGCGAGGTGTCTAGACCATGGGAAAGTTGCCTAATCCAATCAAACTATTGACAGTGATTGTGGGAAATCACGAGAGGACTCTATTGTATGATCAGGAAACAAGAGGACTATACAAATTCGGAGCATTAACTACTAGTCGTAAAAACTACCCTTTTTCCACAGACTTTACAGATGCTCCTTTAAACTGACAAGTAGCTTTGAAAAAATTTTTCCAGTCGTGGTCTTTTTAGATTTCCTACCCTTCGTTTATTTTTTTAGAATGGTTTAATGATACTCGTCCTATCATTATGTCCTAGTTATTTTCCCCAGTATCCTCGCTTCCTAGGGAGTCCCTACTCAGAATTCGAAAAAGCAACTAACCTGTATCGGTGGATAGACGTTGCGGACCCAAACCGGACCTCCAGTGTGATTGGGGCAGTACAGTATTCCATCCGGTTGCTCATGGCACATGGTCGCATTGATGGAGGCCATCAAACGACTGTAAAGTTCTTTCTTGTAAACACCAGCCTCGGTAGACGCATCCATTTTCAGGAAATAACTTTTCTCTAGGGGCCGCGGTAGCAGAGGATTCTCCGTAGTGGAGCTCATTTCAATAGAGTTTCAAGAGGAATATGATTCAGAATAGGTTGATGGAGGGATTCAGAATCAGAAGTGAGAGTAAACGTGGGTGCTGCGGCGCCAAGGAGAGGTGGAGGGGGGCGTGGGCAATTGGATTAATGCTCCGCCTACTTTTTCCTGCCGGAGAGCTCTCCTGGAGGAAAAAGAGAAAGAGTGAAAAGGCAACGGAAATGAGCAAAAGTCATGGTGTTGAAAAGAAAAAAAAATGAAAAAGTTAAGAAGGCGTGAGAAAATGAAAATTTTGAATTGTTTGGGAGAAAATGAAAATTTTGAATTGTTTGGGAGAAAATGAAAATTAACGATTGCTCGGAACTTGCTTTTCCTCTTATAATAATTCGAAGTGAAAGCGAAAAAACACAAAAAATAACTCTTCTCAAAAAAGTTTTTCCTGGAGAACCTAAGAAGGAAAAAAGCCTGGAGATGAAACGGATAATTATGCAGGTCACAGATAAACCGACAGATTATGCTTAACAGAAAGATATCAGTGATTATCTTCAATCTTGAAAACTAATGATCACCTAGAAATTAAACTCCATAAATGTTTATTGCGGGTAGTCAAAGAAATTTTGATAAAGTGATCCAAAAATCCGGAAAATGCCAAAAATTCATTGTTAATTCCGTTTCGAATAGTAGAGGATTAGAAGTTTGGAGACATTCTAATAAATATAACAATTTTTCGACTGAAAAAGTTTGAATTCTAGAAAAAAATTTAAGTCCATTAAGATCATCTCGAACAACGGATATTTCTTTTCAGAAGTGTCTGCTGAAGCCATTCAGAAAACATTTTGGAAGTGGACTATTGAAAAAGATGTTCGCTTCTAGAATTTTTTTTCGAAACCACCAAATTTTGTGGAATCCGATGTTTCATTTTTTTTTTTAAATAATTGCAACAATCTGAAAAATTAGAAACTTTTCGGTCTTTGGAGTTTGAATTTTCAATCTACATTAGATTCAAAAAAATTCAATCCATTTACCGTAAAACCTGTAATAGAAGGGCCCCACACTGTCAGGTTTGAGCTCATTTATCTCGGCTCCTGTCAAAGTTATTAGAATTTTGTTCACTGATAAAATGTTTGTGATGTTATGATAAAAACTTTATTAGTTAGCAACTTTTGTATAACTGTGACAGGAACCTAGAAAAATTTTCTCAAACTTGGCAGTGTGGAGCTCTTCGATTACAGGTTTTACGATACTTGATTTAAGGATCGTAACACATCGTTTTTCCTTCGAATTTCTTTTTTCTCAAACTGCTTCTCCCAATTTCTAAAATTTCATAGATTTACAAATCTTCCAGCACTTTCTAGTTTCCATGACAACTTATGCAAACGTTTCTGAAATCAGACACCACTAAAACCCAACTTCCTGCATTCACAGTGTATGCGCAAAGTTCTCACTTTTATGCCGAAAAGGACAGGTGAAACAACGGAAAAATGAAAAAAAGGTCACCCACACACACATATCTAAAACTCTCCCCAAAATCTTTGTTCTTTTTTCCAAAATTTTCAGATTTTCGGAGGCGGACAGATGGTTTTTTTAATCTGCGGGCGCATGAAACTCGTGTGTGAGTGATAATTGAAAAAATTAAAAATTCATGGGTACTGTAGTTGGTCGATTAGTCGGGAGACTGGAAATGTTTCTAATGGAAAATAGGGGCTGGAAAGAAGAAATGACAGTCACAAGACACAAAATTCAAAAAGGAAATTCAAGAGTTTTATAGAGGTGAAGCCTTGCAGTGGTGGTATGATGGGAAGAAAGAAAAATGCGTCTAATTTTTGAGACTTCACTTACTAATTTTGTGGAATAAATAAATAAATTGTTTAAATCCGGTGATCTGCTGTTTCACATCAGTTTTGAAAAAAGGAAGGCTTTCATTTTTGGAGAAAAATGCTGTTTGGTTTCTAAGGAAATGGAGGGAAAATAGAAAAAAAAACTTTAAAAGAAGTTGAAGTTGTTTTTCGGAACATCAGATTAATTACAGAAGTTTTTTGATCAGCTAATAATTTTAGGAACATCAAAAAAAATTTTTAACTTGATTAGAAAATAATCGCCACCGTTTTTGAGAAAGTATTTTTTTAAATTCTAGATCGATTCCAGTGTTTTACTTGAAAAAAAAACTCAGCTTAGGATCTCGTTTGTGCATTTTTTTCTAATTTTCGGGCATCAAAAAGTTCATTAAAATCTGGGAAATTTCAAATTTTAAATTCGAGGTTGGATATCTTTGCTTGAGCGATTTCAATTCCTTGGTTTTTTGAAAAGAATTGAGCAGAACCAAATTTTTGAATTACATCAGAAATTCAAAACTTTGAGTCTAAATTTTGAGTAAACATCTGCCGTAAAACCTGTATTAGAAGGCCCCTTTAATAGAAGGGCCCTCCGAGAGGCGCTTGGAAAAATAGAAGGACCCTGTAATAGAAGGGCCCCAGTAAAAGAAGAACCCTCTGTGAAAAAGGACCCCGTTGAAAATGTGTTTTGAAACCAGAAAATTTCTGTACTTTTTCAGTGGAAAATATCCCGGGAACTAAACAGTTTAATAAAAAATTGTTGAAACTCTATTTTTCGATGAATGATCTCGCTAAATTTTGGTGAAATTGGCAGATTTTCATGAATTTTGAACGAAATTTTGTCGAATTTTTCGATGCAAAATTTAAAAAAAAAATGGCCGGAAAAATAGAAAGGCCCCCCCTAATTGAAGGGCCCCTGTAATACCTCCGGATGTACCTTGGGACAATAGAAGGGCCTGACCTTCTAATACAGGTTTTACGGTATATCATAATTTTTGATACTGCATTTTATTCAACAAAAAAACAGTTAAACGTTTTGTCTGGAATTTCCAGCTTTCCTGTTGATGGAGACAAAATTGAATTTAGGTGCAAGCTAATTCAAAATAATCAATTCAGAAATACAATTGACACACCGTTTTGGCGTCAGAATATCCGTTTTTTTTTCAAATTTAATTCACCGAATTCTTACAATTTCAAAATTAGTGACTTCATAAAGTAGTTTTTTCCAATGTTCCCATTAAAATGATATCAATTTTAGAAATATGAAAAGAAAACAACTAGAAGATGAGGAAAAATGAAGACATGGAGACAGATTTCGGTGAGGAATAGAAGCCGATTTAAGCAAAGGATTTTGGTATGTGCGGGTTTAGAATTGATAGACTAATATCAGTCAGTTTTACAAGATAAGAACAGAAAACTGAAAAAAAATAGAAAAAAATAGTTTAAGAGAGAAAATGAAAAAAAAAACGGATCATTGAAAGTATACAAATTATGGGTTCCTAAGAATACGAGTTCCAGAACTGACCGAAAAATTTCTAAATTCGAGTCTAAATTTAATTTGTTAAACGAATGGTTATGAATTTGAAATTTTTCGATGTTTCTCAAAATAAATTCGAGAATCTCGGTTATTCTGATAGGAAAATTTTATAAATTAACACACAAATTTAGCTGATCAAACTCAAACGATATAACAACCATTCAATTTTTGGTTCGTTTATTTTTATTTTCGAAAACATCAAAAACCAGAAACATCCTTATTTCTCTGGCCAATTTTATTTCAATTTTCATGTGCTATTTCCTCTTTTTGTGTCATAAGAGCCCTTATTTGGAAGTACTTCGTCATTTCCTTATTACTCTACATTTTAGTGAAAATGTTTTGTTTTACTTTGTTTGTTGATCTAGTGGTAAATTTGAATTATAGAAGTCGTAGTTGAACGTTACTTAAAAACTAGAAAATTGAGAAAAAGTAGGATAGCTGACTAGTTGGTAAACAGAATGAGTATTATTTCAGTAATCGATTTCTGGAATACAATTTTTGATATGAATACAAAACGTCCAAAATTGATACCGTAAACATTCAAATAGAATGCTTTCAAACCGTCAACTTTGAGTTCATATGTGACATATATGTCTCATTTTGTTTGAAAGATATCAAACAGTAGTGAATTGAAAAAAAGTTCATCATAAGATAACAAGTGTTTTGCCAGTTGACCACTTTTTGATAACTTTCATATGAGCCGAGATTAGCTTAAAGTCAAAAATTGAAGCGGACATTCTATTAGAGAATTTACGGTGATTCGAAACTGTGAATGTGGAAATCTGAGAAAATGAAAACGTTCCAAAAATGGTTAAAGTTTGTAAAAATTCCAGATTTTGAATATTTGCAGTCAATGATACCAAAACCGCAAACAGGATATCTCGTAAACTTCCGGGAAAATTAGCATGACCAGAACACAAAAATCATAATTTTAAAGGGTTTCATATTAGATTTTATAACATGAATCTCTATGTACCTCTTGGTCATTCGAAAAAAAACCACAAAAACGACAAACGCTGGTGCATTTCTAGAGACCGATAGAACAAAAACTCAATATTTAAACGTAATTAGATTTTCAATTAAATTTCATCTTCACTGCAGCTTTTCCCTTAATTGGTCCATTATTTTATTCACTCTCTCGCTATACGATATATTCATACAAGTGCGCATAGAAAGGTAAGAAGTTCTTTTAATTATTATTATTCTTTTCGTTCAGGATCACAAATGCTTGGATGAGAAGAAATGAGAATTCGGATTCAAAAGACTGTAGTAATGAATGTGAGAAAAGCGGAGAAGAGGTAATAAGTCCCACAAAAAATTTGAAGGAAAAAGTAATCACCTCGAATCGGAAGCCGGCATTTCTGAGAAGTCTGGGAAGGCGTTTGTTGATTGATTATTGGTGACACTTCCAGAGAATTTCTGAAAAAATTAAAGGTAACAGACCGGATGGGAAAAAAGTTTGTTGGAGAACTAATAACGAAACCTATTATTTTTGGATTGAATAAAAGATAGATGTGTTCCTGGGAGAATATGTTATGACAAGAAAAAAGTTGTTATTTCTGCTTGGTAAGAAACGGAAGTTTCAGTTCTATGAAATATTTTGAACTCCATTATTCAAAGAAGGATCAAAGAAACAAAAAGATGTAAACCAT